CAAAAAAAAAAAAAAAAAAGAAAAGAAAAGAAAACAGTCCTGCCATTCCTGTAATAATTATAAATGTTGCCAGGCATGGTAGCTCATGCCTGTAATCCCAGCACTTTAGGAGGCAGCAGCAGGATCACTTGAGGCCAGGAGCTGGATACCAGCCTAGGCAACATAGCAAGACTCCATCTCTACAAAGGTGTAAAAAAATTAGCTGGCCATAGTGGTGCACGCCCAAAGGCCCAGCTACCCGGGAGGCTGAGGCAGAAGGATCCCCTGAGCCCAGGAGGTTGAAGCTGCAGTGAGCCGTGACTGTGCCACCGCACTCCAGCCTGGGCGACAGAGTGAAACTCCGACTCAAAAAATAAATAAAATAAAAAACGACAAATGTCAGTGACCTGGAATTGTGCCGGGAAAGCCAGAACTGAGGAGGGGGAGGAGCCCTTCTCTCCACTGGGCCCCTGGGCCTCACCTGGCTTCCTTCCGGCGTTGGGGCCATGCACGAGGTATGTCCTCGTTCCTCACAAACAAATCTGTTTCCTACGCAGTGAGAATGGGGAGCTTGGGTGCAGGGTCACATCCCAGATGACCTGGAACAAGGCCAAAGTCCTGTGACCCTGCTGATGTCATGGGTGAGGTCCACGAGGAAGAGGGCAGAGGGTCCATTTGTCTGTTCTTTCACCAAAAGACCGCAAGGTCTACAGTGTGTGGTCACCCTAGAGCTGCCGCCATCTTTCACGCTCAGAATCAAATCCCGCACCTCTGTCACGCGTATTCCCTAACCTGCCTAGACCACGGGTACCTGTAGGGGGTGGGGAGGGCTCGGAAGGATCATTCGCCAGCTACGAGGGCAAGTCCAGCTAGGTGGGGTCTTGGAGGTTTGAGGAAGCACCCTGCGGTGGCTGGTCCAGATGGTAGAGCGTTTGGTGAAGCAAAGCACGGGCCGCAGGGAGGTCGTCAGGATCTGAGAGCCAAGACGGGGGGCGGCGGGTAAGAGGCTGTGGGTCTCTGGGCCCCCGGGCTCCCAGCCCCCCGGGACTCACCCATGCCTAGCTCTCGCAGCAGGCTTCGGTACTCTGGCTCAGCCTCCAGTAGTTTCAGCAGATTGGTGGACTCCATCCGTTCCAGCTGCACCTCCCAGTAAACATAGATCTTCTGGTTGAAAGTGACGTACACCAGGCAGGGGCTGTTGCGGCCCTCTTTGCAGGCATACAGACCTGGGGCGCGTGGGCGGTGAGACAGAGGTCAGAAAGCTTCTGTGCCGGTGGTGGGAGGACCAAGAGCGAGACACGAAGCAGAGTCGGCACAGTCCACCCTCCCGCTGATGTCACTCAAAGCCTAGAAGGCCCTCGGCTTCTTCTTGCCAGGAACCCGGTGAAATGGGTAAGATAAGAAAACATCTGGCCAATTCCAGATGTGGAAAAACCTCAGTAACGATAACCAGGCAGGGCTGGGCACGGTGGCTGAAGCCTGTAATCCCAGCACTTTGGGAGGCCGAGGCAAGTGGATTGCCTGAGTCCAAGGGTTCTAGACCAGCCAGGGCAACTTGGCGAGACCTCGTCTCTACAATAAACCAAAAAATTAGCTGGGCGTTGGTGGTATGTACCTGTAGTTCCATCTACTGGGAAGGCTGAGGTGGAAGGATCACCTGAGCCCAGTAGGTAGAGGATGCAGTGACCGTGAACATGCCACTGCTCTAGCCTGGGCAACAGAGTGAGACTCCAACTCAAAAAAAAAAAAACAAGCCGGGCTCGGTGGCTCAGCCTGTAATCCCGTGCCTTTGGGAGGCTGAGGTGAGTGGATTGCCTGTGCCCGTGGGTTCGAGACCCACCTGGGCAACTTGGCAAGACCTCATCTCTACAATAAATCAAAATAAGCCGGGTGTGGTAGAGCGCGCCTGTAGTTCCAGCTACTTGGAAGGCTGAGGCAGAAGGATCGCCGGAGCCCAGCAGGTCGAGGCTGCGTTGGCCGGGAGCGGCCATTGCACTCCAGTCTGGGTGACAGAGTGAGACTCCAACTCAAAAACAAACAAACAAACAAACAAAAAAACAAAACAAAAGCAAAACAATAACCAGGCAGAAGAGCGTCCAAAGGGTGATATTAGTTGATTTTCCCATCCTGGGGTAGTGAGACCCAAGAGATTAGCAAAACATGATCAGAAAGTCAGGTTTCTTTTGGGTGTCAACCTTTTAGGCATTTTAGCAATCAGACATGTCCCCAGCCACCCAAGAGTTAGTGCTGCCTTCCACAGTCCCTGATTTGGAACCAATGAAAATGTCCTGGGAGAATTTCCTTCAGAGACCTGGCATGCTCAGATGGAAAAGAATTCCTGGCCGGGTGCATTGTCTCACACCTATAATCCTAGCACTTTGAGAAGCTGAGGTGAGAAGACTGCCTGAGGCCAGGGGTTCAAGACCAGTCTGGGCAGCTTGGTGAGACCTCATCTCAACAATAAACCAAAAGATTTGCTGGGCGTGGTGGTGTGTACCTGTAGTTCCATCTACTGGGAAGGTTGAGGTGAAAGGATCACCTGAGCCCAGCAGGAAGAGGATGCAGTGGCCGTGAGCATGCTACTGCACTCTAGCCTGGGCAACACAGTGAGACTCCAACTCAAAAAAACAAAAAGAAAATAACCAGGCAGAACCACGTCCAAAGGGTGATATTAGTTGTTTTTCCCATCCTGGGGTAGTGAGGCCCAAGAGGAGATTAGCAAAACATGATCAGAAAGTCAAGCCTCTCTTAGGCGTCAAACTTTCAGGCATTTTAGCAATCCAAGAGTTACCCAAGCCACCCAAGAGTTAGTGCTGTCTTCCAAGGTCCTTGATTTGGAACCAATGAAAATGTCCTGGGAGAATTTCCTTCAGAGACCTGGCATGCTCAGATGGAAAAGAACTCCTGGCTGGGTACATGGACTCACACCTATAATCCCAGCACTTTGAGAAGTCAAGGTGAGAGGATTGCCTGAGCCCAAAAGTTCAAAACCAGCCTGGGCAACTTGGCGAGACCTCATCTCTACAATAAATCAAGAAAAATTAGCTTGGCGTGGTGGTACACACCTGTAGTTCCAGCGACTTGGAAGGCTGAGGTGGAAAGTCACCTGAGTCCTGTAGGTCGAGACTGAGGTAACTGTGATCATGCCACTGCACTCCAGCCTGGGCAAGAGTGAGACCCCGACTCAAAAAAAAAAAAAAGAAAAGAAAAGAAAAGAAAAGAATTCCTGTTCCTGAGGGCTTCACACATCCCAGACAGCTGGCAAGAACTCATGCCATTCATTAAATATTCAGAAATGGCGAGCTCACTGTCTTTTACTTCCTCTTGTTTAACACCGTCAAGACGGTCATGTAAAACTCACGCCTCACCCTCAAATAAAAGAGCCGAAGAAGGCCGGGCATGGTGGCTCCAGCCTGTAATCCCAGCACTTTGGGAGGCCGAAGCGAGAGGACGGCCTGAGTCTGTGTGTTTGAGATCAGCCTGGGCAATATGGTGAGGCCTCGTCTCTACAATAAATCAAAAAATTAGTTGGGTGTATTAGCACACGCCTGTTGTTCTGGCTACTTGGAAGACTGAGTTAGAGTCTCACTCTGTGGCCCAGCACGTGCCATTGCACTCTAACCTGGGCCACAGAGTGAGACTGCAACTCAAAAAAAAAAAAAAAGAGCTGAAGAACTCGCTCACTTACAATTGCTTCCAGCAAGCCGGGTTCGGTGGCTCAGCCTGTAATCCCGCACTTTGGGAGGCTGAGGTGAGTGAATTGTCTGAGCCTGCGGGTTCGAGACCCGCCTGAGCAACTTGGCGAGACCTCATCTCTACAATAAATTAAAAAATCAGCTGGGCGTGGTAGCGCGTGCCTGTAATTCCGGCTACTCGGAAGGCTGAGGCGGAAGGATCGCCGGAGCCCAGCAGGTCGAGGCTGCGGTGGCACTGCAGTCTGGGCCACAGAGTGAGACTGCAACTCAAAAAAAAAAAAAAAGAGCTGAAGAACTCGCTCACTTACAATTGCTTCCAGCAAGCCGGGTTCGGTGGCTCAGCCTGTAATCCCGCACTTTGGGAGGCTGAGGTGAGTGAATTGTCTGAGCCTGCGGGTTCGAGACCCGCCTGAGCAACTTGGCGAGACCTCATCTCTACAATAAATTAAAAAATCAGCTGGGCGTGGTAGCGCGTGCCTGTAATTCCGGCTACTCGGAAGGCTGAGGCGGAAGGATCGCCGGAGCCCAGCAGGTCGAGGCTGCGGTGGCACTGCAGTCTGGGCCACAGAGTGAGACTGCAACTCAAAAAAAAAAAAAAAGAGCTGAAGAACTCGCTCACTTACAATTGCTTCCAGCAAGCCGGGTTCGGTGGCTCAGCCTGTAATCCCGCACTTTGGGAGGCTGAGGTGAGTGAATTGTCTGAGCCTGCGGGTTCGAGACCCGCCTGAGCAACTTGGCGAGACCTCATCTCTACAATAAATTAAAAAATCAGCTGGGCGTGGTAGCGCGTGCCTGTAATTCCGGCTACTCGGAAGGCTGAGGCGGAAGGATCGCCGGAGCCCAGCAGGTCGAGGCTGCGGTGGCACTGCAGTCTGGGCCACAGAGTGAGACTGCAACTCAAAAAAAAAAAAAAAGAGCTGAAGAACTCGCTCACTTACAATTGCTTCCAGCAAGCCGGGTTCGGTGGCTCAGCCTGTAATCCCGCACTTTGGGAGGCTGAGGTGAGTGAATTGTCTGAGCCTGCGGGTTCGAGACCCGCCTGAGCAACTTGGCGAGACCTCATCTCTACAATAAATTAAAAAATCAGCTGGGCGTGGTAGCGCGTGCCTGTAATTCCGGCTACTCGGAAGGCTGAGGCGGAAGGATCGCCGGAGCCCAGCGGGTCGAGGCTGCGGTGGCCGGGAGTGGCCACTGCACTCCGGTCTGGGCGACAAAGTGAGACTCCAACTCAAAAAAAAAAAAAAAAAAAAAAAAAAAAAGAGCTGAAGAACTCACTCACTTACAAACGCTTCCAGTGGAGGACACACTGAGAGGCAAACACCTACCTGACACACCCAACCCACTTAATCTAACTTCAGCGAGGTGAGAGAGGGGCCCCAGGGAAGGGGTCCCACCTGCACAGAAGGCACGGATGTTTTCATCCACTTGGAAGCGGACGACACTGCGGTTGTGATCGATGATGTACGTCTGTCCATCCCAGGCACAGGCAACTACCTCCTCCTGCCCATTGCCCTGAAAGAGGCGGGAGACAAGGCTAAGCGAGGGGCAAGAGCCATCTTAGAAAGAGACCTGGTGACAGGGGCGGGGTGAGATACCACGGAACCATGGACTTGACTCTGCATGGACACAGCGGGCTGGAGGAGAGCCTCTCCCACGGGGCAGGCACCCACGGGGCTGCCCAATGAACACCCTCGACGCGGGCAGTCGTATGTGGAGGGAACTTCAGCTACTAGAAACGCAGTCATTCGCCCAAGGTCACTTGGCTAGGAGGTGGCAGAATCAGTCTTGGATCTGCTTTTTCTTCAAAACCATCAAGTACACACAATGGCACTAGAAAGCGCGCTGCCCCGCCCCGTGCTGATTCGGGACCACAGCGTTATTACATAGAGACTCACATATGGAAAAGTAAAAACTACAAAATATATGCGTGGAATTGGAACAAATAACTCACTGCTAGACACTTTGAGTAACTTCTTTTCTTTGGGGCTGTTACTACTGCTGGAGGTATGGGCACAACAGACTTCCAAAAGCACAGTGCGGTGTTAGGGAAGAAGAAGTAAACACACTCTAGATAGACTCAGAACTATAAGACTCCAGGCCGGGTGCGGTGGAGCACGCCTATAAGCCCAGTGCTCTGGGAGGCCAAGGTAAGAGGACCACCTGAGCTCAGGAATTCGAGACCAGCCTGAGCAACATGGTGAGACTTCATCTCTATTTTTTTGAGTCGGAGTGTCACTTTGTTGCTCAGGCTGCCATGCTCACGGCCACCGCAACCTCAACCTGCTGGGCTCAGGTGACCCTTCCTCCTTAGCCTTCCAAATAGCTGGAACCACAGGTGTGCGCCACCACACCTGGCTAACGTTTTGATTTTATTTTATTTTTATTTTTTTTGAGTTGGAGTCTCACTCTATCGCCCAGACTGGAGTGCAGTGGCCGCTCCCGGCCACCGCAGCCTCGACCTGCTGGGCTCCAGTGATCCTTCTGCCTCAGCCTTCCAAGTAGCTGTAATGATAGGCACGCGTTACTACGCTCAGATAATTTTTGGATTTATTGTAGAGATGAGGTCTGGTCAAGTTGCCCAGGAGGGTCTCGAACCCGCGGGCTCAGGCAATCCACTCACCTCAGCCTCCCAAAAGTGTGGAATTACAGGCTGAGCCACCGAGCCACCTGTAAAGCCCGGCTATGTTTTGATTTTATTGTAGAGACAAGATCTCACCAAGTTGCCCAGGCTGATCTTGAACCCCTGAACTCAGGCAATCCTCTTGTCTCTGCCTCCCAAAGTGGTGGGATTACAGGCGTGAGCTACCGTGCCTGGAAAGACCTCATGTCTTTAAAAATAAAATAAAATTTGCCGGGCTCGGTGGCTCAGCCTATAATCCCAGCACTTTGGGAGGCTGAGGTGAGCGGATTGCCTGAGCCCACGCGTTCGAGACCTGCCTGGGCAGCGAGACCTCATCTCTACAATAAATCAAAAATCAGCCAGGCGTGGTAGCGCGTGCCTGTAATTCCGGCTACTCGGAAGGCCGAGGCGGAAGGATCGCCGGAGCCCAGCAGGTCGAGGCTGCGGTGGCCGGGAGCGGCCACTGCACTCCAGTCTGGGTGACAGAGAGAGACTTCAACTCAAAAAATAAATAAATAATAAAAAAAATAAAAAATAAGCTCGACACAAGGGTCGGGAGGTAACTGGGACGTGAGAGTGGCCTGGTCACTTGAACTCTCGTCTCTCCTGGGAGACGGCAAGAACGCTCTGCCCCGCCAGCCTTCCTACTCACCGTGACATCTAACTTCTCCAGGGCAAAGAGCTGGTGGTCCACCTGCACTGACCACAGCAGCTTGTCCGCTTCCTCCATGAGCTTCAGCGTCCCTGCAGGGGAGAGGCGGCCCGGGGATGGGTGGGACAGGCCTGAGTAGAACCCACAGGCCCAGAGCCTCCCACCCCGTCCCAGCATTGCTCACCGTCCAGGGTGCACAGGGCAAAGAGGCCAGAGCCAGCACTTCCGGCGCCGTGGCCTATGGGCGGGATAGAAGGACCAGAAGAAACATGAAGGGCAGGACGGGGTCAGAGCCTGTGGGGGCGGGGCGGCCAAGGGCAGGGGGGGAAGGATAGGACTGAAAGTGACCAGAAGGCCCTGGAGTGCCCCTCCCCCACCCCGTCACCTCTATTTATGTTGCCAATGAGATGAGTAGAGACGTTCTTGTTGTGGATCCGGCCGGATGTCTGGTGCAGCACCACGTCTCGGGCAGCCGGGGTCTCTCTATGGGCAGCAGAGTCGCGGGCCGAACGGGAGGCCAGATGAGCTGAGTCTCATGGCCCTTTGGGGCCACTATCCCTGCAAGAGCTTTTAGAATCTGAAACCCACTGCTGGCCCCAGCTGACCCAGGTGGCAAACAGAAAAGAGAGCTGGGGTTGCCAGGTGGGACTCTCAGAACCTCTTTCAGGTGCTTTAAGATGAGGCCGGGTTCGGTGGCTCAGCCTGTCATCCCAGCACTTTGGGAGCTTGAGCTGAGTGGACTGCCTGAGCCCGTGGGTTCGAGACCAGCCCAGGCAAACTGGCGAGACCTCGCCTCTACAATTAAAGAAAAAGTTAGCTGGGTGTGGGAGCACATACCATGTAGTTCTATTTACTTGGAAGGCCGAGGCGGAAGGATCGCTGGAGCCCAGCAGGTTGAGGCTGCAGTGGCTGGGAGCGGCCACTGCACTCCAGCCTGGGCAACACAGCAAGACCCCAACTCCAAAAAAAATATTAAAGCCCAGGATTCCCTCAGGCCCCAAACAACCTTCCTGAGTGGGGCCAGGTGCTTGGGCTGGACCTGGAGGCAGCTCAGCCCCCCGGAGACCCGTCTCGCCGCCACGGGCCATCTGGGCGCCCCTCTGGCTTCCACACCCCCCTCGCCACCACAGGCCTGGACCCTCTTACCGACTGCCCTCCGTGGCCCCCTCAGAGGCCGGAGAGGACTCGGAGTCCTTGTTCCAGGTACACAGGAGAATTGCATAAGCACAGCCTGGCTGAGACACCATCAGTTCAGGAACGCCCAGTGGCCCCGGAGTCACCGAGAGACTGTCCACCTGCACCGGGGAATGGGATTGCAGGGCACTGAGGGGGGACGGAAGTGGGGCTCTGCAGAGCACGGGAGGTGTGGGGGGCGAGGGGGGTCCTGGAAATCACCCTCGAGGCTTCCAGGGGACTGACTCTCAAGCTCACGGGGCTCCTGCCATCCTTTCGGCCTTCCTCTGGGCGTGTCCCCAGGGGTCCCAGCCCGATGCAGCCCAGTCCACACACGCCTGCGCCCTCATTCTCAGCACAACCTTCCTTCCCTCTGCCTGTTCCTGGCAACTTCCCCTGAGACCCTGGCTTGAGGTGACTGTCTCTGGATCTTTCTCAGTGCAGTGCTTTTCCCCTGCCCCGCACCTCGGCCCTGGCTCAAGACTGCTTTCCCCCACCGCCTCCAGGAAGCCTTCCTCCCAGCTCTCTGGGCGCCTTGGTCCCAACTCAGCCTCTCACCTGCCCCTCCAGCATCCACTTCTTGAGAGACACCAGCTGCCCGGTCAGATGTTCGGGGCCCTCGCCCAGCTCCTCCCAGCGGAAAGCCCGCACCACCCGGTCCGTGTAGCCCACCACCAGCTCACAGCACCCATCTCCGTCTGTGGGACGCAGAGCAAGGCGGGGCTTGGGGTCCCGCAAGGAGCCCCCGCTCTCCCGCTGACATCACCCCGGGGGGCGCTTTCCACGGTTGCTTTCCCTCAGGCCCCTCCCCCACGCCACT